TACCAGGACATTATTTGTGTCCTGATTATTTAGACAAAGACTTGTTCAAAATTGATTATTTATTTATCGACATCTAATAACAATGGTTATATACGTGAAGCCTCAAATCATAAACTGCAACACTTTATAAACAACATAAATCTGTTTAAATGCATTTGAAACAATTCCACACCTTGGACGACCCATCTGGAAAGGATTATAGATATTTGACACCACGTCCAATATCGATTCACTGGACTTTTGTCTTATCTAAAACAACAGGGCGAACAGCACTTGAGTGTAAGTATTATAGGTCTGTATGCATTTATGGATCACTCAAAAACTGAGGCCCAAAAGTACCCAAAAAGATATTTTTGTGTCCCTGTTACACCTGACCTGTGTGATGGGACTGAAAAATGTCGTTCAGTCGGATCAAAAGCTTGTTATTTGTTTGGCAAGTGCATGTAATTGGCATTATTTAATAATGAATCGGGTGATATTATACATCACCTGTGGCAGAGATACAGAAAATTAGACCCCACATTTTGTATTATGAAACTAATACCTTGACTCAGAGCATAGTAATGACATACCAAGTGCACAGAGAAATACCTAAAGACCCGAGACTCAATTAATTCCACTTACCAGGACATTATGGACTCGTAAAAAGAATAAAATTTTAAAGGGTAGCTGCAATCAGTTTGCTTTATAAATTCTCGAAATGCACCTTTAACCTTTGTATTCCATTTAACCTTATTTTAAGCTTTTTACTATTTCAAAGGCTATTTTTATTGCCTTTTTGGTTTAGTGATGATGAATATTTCCATATTCATGAGACAAACTGTGATATCATCCCAGAAAGAAATCATCAATGTTACATTGTTTGAACACTAAAAAGTCCTGCATTTTGGTAGACTTTGCAGGACCAATTTTTTCGGTCTTTGGTGATTCATTGTTTTTATGTGCACAGAAATAAGCTTAGAAATGTTCTCAATAAGTAAATTCTGGGTTCTTTCAAACAGAAATCTGTGTCCTAAGATTACGTCACACTAACAACGCCCTCAATTGACCATGAAAGCACAGGGTTGAGAATGGTAATTATATATTTCTATAAATCCCGAATTTTGGATTAATAGTTCCCAGTTCGGGGTGTTTCTGTCACAAAAAGCCCCAAATTGCGGGCCTATTTTGAATAGAAGCTGGTGGCTTCATTCAGAAATGAGCGCTTAGGTTTTACTTCTATTTTGGGGGTATCTTCGGGGAAAGGCGAATAAAAACATTCCATGGCTAAACCCCATAAATTTGAAACGAAAAGTGATCTTCTAGCCATGATCTTGAATTTCCAGTGAAAAAAAGGAGGCTACCTCTTCACGAGAGTCAATAAGCGGCGCTATTTCGGTCCAATTCTGCACTGTTTTCTATGGGCGCGTATTTGGTGTAGTGCAACCGGAAGGGGTTTGCGTGTGATGTGCGTACAATGGCCTGTACGCATATTCCATTCATTAAAAGAGGGTGTTCATAAGGAATTGTTTCATTTAAAGCTACAGTCTCCAGTGTTTCTGTTACCTACAGAGATTACTAAAGCACTTGTTCTTTTTCCAATGTGTTCACCAGCCCTTCGTTTCATGGAGATTCTAGAAAAAGATTCCCATTTTGGCTTCTCGGTCCTGCTGTGGGTGCTGCACGAGAACACGCTGTGCCGCGATCTCAAATTAAAATCCATGCATAACAACGACGCTTTTTTTTTATAAAACTCCCACCTTCAACATTGAGTTTTTTCCTGAAATGCATGTGTAAAGGCATCACTTTCAGACTGTAGTCGTTTACGGGAAAACTTTACCTTCAACATGACCCTTTTTCCGCACCCGTTGTAAAAAAACGAATGATGCGTCCCATTCAAATTTTATCCATTAGTCGAAAACTTCTTTACGTCGATTAAAGCTCACAGCGTGTGGAGATGCAGCACACACAACCGACCGACGCCACAGAAACCCGGGCAGCAAAGTTGGCACGGCACGGTCAAAAGGGAATAGCAGGTAAATAAAAAGAAACAAATATTTATCCTGAAGACATTTTTCATCTCAAAACAGCCTTTTATGATGTGACTCCAGGTGTTTAAACCTGTAGTAAATATATTTCTTATCTGGGACTTTACATATTATATAAAGTCCCAGATAAGAAATATATTTACTACAGGTTTAAACACCTGGAGTCACACATGAAATTATCAATTAAAATATCGCCAGTTGTTCGTGGTTTCGAAGACTCTTCATGGTCCATTTTCAAGCAACTGAGAAAGAAAGAATGTGCACTCCATCGCCGCACAAAACTGGACGAGAAGACTTTGAACGTAGGGGGCGCTTGTCGTACAACACCCTTCCGCCCCTTCCCCACGGACGTATATAAAAATCCTGGACTTGCAACGCCTTTGTATGAAAAAGAAGCCAACCAGCGGCCATTTTACCGAGCCAAATACAAAAGCATGGGTTGGCTCCCTTTTATTGACGTCAGGAAGTACAAAGGCGGGCATTGCCAGGAAAGCTTTGTATTCGGCTCGGTGAAATGGCTGCGCGTGGATTCAGTGGTCTCTATAAGCTGATTAAGGGCATTGCGAGTCCAGATTTTATTATACACGTCCGTGCCCCTCCCCCTAAATACGCGTGTGATTGGCTTTACATTTATGTTTATTCATTCTCAATAGCCAGTCAGCGTCATTGTCGAATTCTACACAACCAGGGGCTAGTGAAGAAACGCGCGTGCAGCCAATGGAGTCGAGGTTGGTTATGGGGCCTATGTGCACAATGCTCACCTGTAAATTTGCAGTCAGTGTTGTT